GGGCCCTCGAGGTTTTATATTTAAAAAAAATAGAGTTGGGATACCTGAGGTTTCACATTAAAAAAAAGAGACATTTGGCGCCCTCGAGAAGGTTTTTTTACATTTTTAAAAAAGATAGTTGGGTACCCCAAAAAGGTTTCACATTCTTAAAAGTATCGATACATTTGGAGCCCCTGAGAAGGTTTTATTTTTTTTTAAATACAGTTGGGTTCCCCGAGAAGGTTTTACATTAAAAAAAGACATTTGGGGCTCCCGAGAAGATTTTTCATTTTCAAAGAGACAGTTGAGACGCCCAAGAAGGTTTCACATTCTTAAAAACATATATTTGGGGCCCCAGAGAAGGTTTTACATTAAAAAAAAAGACAGTTGGGAATCCCGAGAAGGTTTTACATTTTTAAAAAACAGTTGGTACCTCCGAGAAAGTTTCACATTAAAAAAAGACATCTGGGGCTCCCAAGAAGGTTTTACATTTTCAAAAAAGACAGTTGAAACTCCCGAGCAGGTTTCACGTTAAAAAAAAGACATTTAGCGCCCTCCAGAAGGTTTTACATAAAAAAAAAAGAGAACTGGGAACCCCGAGAAGGTTTCATATTCTTAAAAGTATACATTTGGCCCCCCGAGAAGGTTTTAGATTAAAAAAAGACATTTGGCGCCCTCGAGAAGGTTTTACATTTTTAAATAAAGTGGGGCGTATTCTCATCTTTTCGAAAAAGTAAAAAAAATTGTCAAGACATCATAAACATAGATATTACACAATGCGAGAAAAAAAAAAGAAAAAAACGAAAGGTGAAGTTTGGAATCGAACGCGCGATTTCTGGTCCGCATTCCTAACTCGTAACCACTAGACCACGACTGGGATGCCGTACGCTAATAGTAAACTGTTATTATACAAAGCATTATGTTTTTGCAAAAATTTGGACAATTAGGGAAAATCTCAAAGCGAATTCATACACTACACTTATGGGCTGTATTGTTGTATAACAGTTAAATCAAATAAACATAGAATTCTTTGAAATGACGTTATTAAATTGTTGGTGGGGATGAGCTATCAAAATTTTGGTTAGCATTTAACCATCTATTTTCAAAAAAATCGTTGTGAATTTCAAAGATCAAAGAAAAGAGATGAATTATATAAGAAAATAAAATTTTATTTTTTGAATAAATATGCATTTATAGTTTTGGAAATTTCATTCTACCCTATAAAATTTTATTGACAATAACGAGGTGGACAGTAGTACAATGGTAAAAAATATTTATGGCTTACAGCAGTTCATCCGACTACATTTAGCAGGTAGTTGCACTTATAAAATAAGGCTCATTTTCGTTTGTGAGTAAGGATGGGCCCTGTCCGGACCTAGATTATTCTGCTTTCTAATATCTGGGGATTACCTGCACGCGACAACTTCAAGCTGTAAATATCTCTTGGTATTGTACTACTGTCCGTCTCGTTATTGCCAATAAAATTTTATGGGGTAGAAAGAGATTTTCAAAACTATACTATAAACATTTGTAGAATCGTTCCTTTACTAACAGAATTGTGCTGAAAAAAAAACATTTTGCATAAGTGGACCAGACTACAGTACTTACATATGGTAAGTAAAAAAGAAACATTACGTATACAGAGTTATTGACATTCTTATACTTGTTGTAAGAAGAAAAATATACATTTGCAAAATAGCAAGTGGTGAGTAGTAAGGCACTAAATATTAATCAACCATTCCTTAGTTTCCCATCAAGTTGGCTTTATTTTTTTTGTAATAATGTTAAGTAAATCTGCAATAACCCTAAAATGACAGCTGACAACGCGAAAATGTCAATTATACACAACAGTACACATGCGTTTTTCGCTACGTTTCCGTCTATCAAAAAAGCAACGCAAACTTGATGACTTTTTCAATTGAACCCGTTATATACCGGGTGACTATTAATGATTGACAATCAATTTTGACATGAGCACGTCTAAAAAAACGTGTTGATTGACTGAGATGATGGCGGCTGTCATAAATGAATTTTATAATCACATTCTTAAAACTATTGCTATTATTTATAAAATTTCACAAAAGTAATATATTCAGGGACTGAATGCCGCACCTGACTACATATATGATATTTCTAATATACTTACATACAAAATTTGACAACAATCGGTCCAGCAGTTTCGGAGATTACGTGTGTAATAAAAATGGATACAGACACCAGACAAACAGACAGACGGAAACGGGAGACTACTTTTTTTACACTCTACGGGTCATGAAACGTCGACAAAATATAAAAGTAAATATATAATTCGTCCGATGGACTCTATTACTAAAGAATACAGATGGATTGGTAATGAATTAACGAGTTAAGTGTTTCGGCCTAGTTTAAGTTAAACATGGAACATACAGATGAAAGTTATTTTAATAAAAAATTACACTTAGTACTGTATGTCGGAAAAATTGAAGATACTTTTGACAAAGACAAAACGTTATTACCACGACACCGAAAATTTCAACAAATAATAATCGACGCGTAATATTCCGACTAAACACTCTCGCATTTGCGCGGATCTATTAATTTGGGGCCCGTAAAGCAAAGAAGATCTCGGAAAAAATTGCAGGTTAAGTGTGCGAAAGAGGATTTCTTAACCTGTACGGTACTAACCCTGGAGGACTCAATTAAGGCTTTGTAAGACAATGAAATTTCCAAAATTTCCAGTGACCAAGATTTTTCTGTGATCTCAAAACGCAAAATAGTAAAAAGTGCCGAAATACCTGACCATTGTAATAATATTATTAAGCCTGAAAAGAAGAAATCAATTTTCTCTTTTACGAAAGGCACTTCACGGGTTAAAAACAAGAACGAAGGTTAGTAGGGTTTCATAAATAAAACAAAGCATTGCTAGGACTGGGTATGAACCCATCAAAATCTGACCAGAAAACCCAAACACCTTTCCATCCGCTTCGTTTACATCTTCCGTTTCTTCCACAGCATCCCTTGGTCGGACATCCCAACCCTGATTCCGACAGGGTGTAATTGTCGGGGTGATCTAGTCATCGAGTCAACTACAGTATTAATAAATCGACGGGGATTCCGGCCTCATGTGCATGCATAAACTCCGCCAACATACGGACCGAGCGGCCCCCAAACCGCGCCGGCCGCCCACCCCCGGCGCCCGGTCCGCCGCCCCCGAGGCCGCCTCACGCATCGCGACTTCTTCTCGTTCTGTTTATTCACCTAGTAATTTAGCTGTGCACTTTATCCGTTATGCGACGCTAGCTTAACAAAATTGTCCGCTCTCGTGCAATCGTAACTTGTCACGCTGACAGATTTCAGGTAATTGCCTATTTGAAATAAACCAACAGCAAATCGGAAATGCGATTAATATTTTCACAGATTTCATTATTGGCGTATACGCAACGCGCGTTTTACACGAAAGGGGAAATGTTCGGTGAAAAATGACACCACCATTAGATGCGATCAATTTCTGAGTCTAACGAGGGGCAAATGAGCGGCTCGAACGAGGCGAAGCCGAGGCAGAGGGCCGCCTGTGCGGGAACAAAAACAAACCCAACCTGATCAAAATATAACATTTTTAAAAAATTACCTGTGCAGCAGCACGTAAGACGTAATTGTTCTTAAACCGCCTGAGCCATCGAAATACATAATTCACGGGTCGTAAAGTTGCAGTGTGTCAAATAAACTAAAATAATTTATTGTTATTACCGTTTAAACTTCTTGGTAATTTGTCATGGAAGAAATTAATTATGAAGCTCGCGTCGCATCACAAAGATTTAAACCTCGAAGTGATAAAATGAAATACGGCTGAAAACGGCGCGTCGTACTACAAAAAAACGTACAGGAGAATTCCTTAAACACGTTGACCACATGTGGCCCAAATGGTAAATTAGCGAATTTGCGGCTTCGCCTCGTTGTCAATTAGCGTTATTATCACGCTAGCGTGAGTCGCGTGCCTTTAATAACAATGACAATAATTCTTGGGAAATTTCTACTGTTGGCAAGCGTTCATTCATGAAAAAACACGTCTGCCGTAAGCGGCGGATGTGGCCGAATGATTGATTAATGAAATTCGTTACATTTTTACATATTTAATGTTAATCAGAAGATTTTGTGGGAATTACGAAGAGGGATTTTGTGGAAAAGTGTATTTTTGAATAGATAAGATGACCACATCCAGGTTGGCTGTGTATATTTCTTCGTCACCACAACCGTCAAGTTGGCGATAATGCTCGTTTCGTAAAGTGATAAGGATTAGAGAGTGATAACGTGGGACGAATGCGCGTGGAAATGGTTTTTCGCCGCCTAATGGCCGAAAAGAGTTTTATCAAATTAAGGAAAAATAACAACAGTGACGTCACTATCGTTTTGAAAGGTTACATTTGCATAAAAATGGGAAAATCCGAAGTATTCTCTGAAGTGTATGACGAAAATTCACGTTATATTTCAAAAGTGATGACGTCGTTAAAAATTTTCAGTTTCGTTCCTGGAATCTACGAATGAATGTTTTTGTCTCTGGTGAAGCTCAAGGGTTCGTTTTCGCGTCCTCGTCGTTCTCGTTTTTTGGCAACGACGTCGTGAATATTTTGTATGCGTCGGTTGTTACGTGACTTCAGCCACTGTGACGCATCCTCGCCGCCTTTTTGCCCGCTCCCTTGAAAAACTCGCGAAAATTGGCCGCGACCACAAGCAAAAACCCGCGAAAGTTAATTCCACATTTAATGACATCCTTAATTCGATCAAAGCCAACTGATTTCGTTCCTACTGTCCATCATCAAGTTACGTTTCTATTACGCGACGAAAAACCGCAGAGACAAAAAAATCCTTCACACTTTGGTAAAAATGTCAACGAGTGTAACCGCACGGGCGAAATATTGGTTAAACGCTTGGGTTTTAGTGATTTTAAGCTCGTTTTGCTAACTTAATTAACTAAGCGTTTTGTTTATTTTTGCGCTGTGGTCGCTTCCACGGGGTGACGAAGCTAATTTTTCCTTTTTTTCCAGGGAAATCTTTTTCGATCACGATCACGGTCTCTACCACGCCTCCGCAGGTGGCGACGTACACCAAAGCGATCAAGGTGACGGTGGACGGGCCGAGGGAACCCAGATCGAAGACCAGTAAGTGTTTTAGTTGTTCGTACTGATATAAGCGCGTCCTCAAGTGGACACTGAAGTTGTCGCACGCGTTGGAACCGAGAGAGAATCTTGAAACTGCGTTAAGGTCAAATTTAATTAACTAGGTGAAGGCGTTTCATCTCAACTGAGTAATAAAATTGTTGGAAAAAATTATAATAAAAAAATAGAGTCTAGATAAAAATAATCCATTTATTTATATGTAAGTATTTGTAAGCGAGCTAAGTTTGTTTTGTGGGTTATATCTCGCTTATCACGCGGCGAAAGCCCAGTTTGATTGCACTTTGCACAGAATGATAAAGCGTTTCGAACCGCAGTTGCTTTTAAATTAAAGCAGCAACCGTTTAACAATCAATCACGCAACTTTTTGCGGCTAATGGGACCCATTAGGACGCAAGATGGTGGAATTTCGTGGACATTTTCTAGAGCAGCCATGACTTTACCTTGGATTTCACAGCGCGAGATTAAAATTTTCAAGCGTGAATAAATCGCTCAGAAAAACAAATCGATAATTAATTAAAATTTCAATCACTTGTAAAAAATTGTAATTTGTTATTTTTTAAGTGGTGAATGGCGGTCGGCTGAGTTTCATCAAATGGATTGGCCACACCCGAGTTATGTAAACATGTTTGTCCGGAGACAAATTAGCATTGTCGAAAAATCGCGCATGTGTTGCAGTCCGCCTCGTCCGTGCCCGGTGTATGTAATTCGACAGGTGACAGTTACCTAAAAAAATCCAAAATGGCACTCGGCCATTTTCCGCGTTTTCCACCAATCCCCGGTCCCCGTCGCCCCATTTTACACGAAACTTTCCCTTCGTGACACACGGGCGCATCTTGCGTGTCGGAAATTATAGCAATTTGAAGAATAAATTTTTCTTTGGGGTGCGAATCGCGCGTCCCTATGCCGTGGTGCGTAAGGCCGAGAGTCGCGCCGGCGGCGGTCGATTCTTCTCGTCAAATTGGGTGTATTTATTGAAAATACCATAATATTTTTTGTCGAAATGGCATGTGTTTAATAACAGGAACATGTGCGCGGTTTCTGTATTGTGTGCATACAAATTACGGCCATGCAAAGGCGGCAATTTGTTGTTGAGTTTTCGAATTTCGCCGGGCCGGCCGTAATTACCGTTTTAATTCGTCAACTTTGAATATTTCAGCGGTACTAAAACTGATTATTTCCCGCCGCCCGACCGCAATACATCAATTTCATTTGTGGTGGTTCATTCAATATTATGACAACAACTGGGGATAAATATTTGACGAGGCGACTGCGAGCGGACTGGCCGGGCGCCAAAAATGCGGAGGAATGAATTTGGGATCGAGGAGACGGTGAAATCGGGATGAGGATGGTTTGGGGCAGAAAGTGCTAATTTCTGGCACGGATTGGGGATAATTTAAAGGCAATTTGATTGTATCGGTGTATTCGGCGCCCGTTTAATAGGGGATTGTGGCTCATTTATTAGTGAAGATATCGATGTGTGGGGGAAATCGAGGGGCGGGGTGGTTCCTTGGACTAGGGAGTTGGCGGGCGGCATATAATTTCATCTGTATACCCGTGTATAATGTATACAGGGTCGGATTGAGGACATGGGAGTCTTTAAATGTAGACATTCTCAATTTCTCAGAATATGCTTAAATTCGACTATTAGCACGTTTAGAATACAAGCATCAGCTATTAAAAGAAAACGAAATTTGGTTGATTTTGTGTTCTCAGCGCGGAGCAAACGACTACCTGATTAATTCATACTCAGTTTTTTCCCATAAACACTCACAGATTTGAAGAAATTCGCCAAAATGTAAAATGACGGCTAAATTTTGATTAACGATTTACCGTGCTTACGATAGTCTTAAAAAGCTTACAAGTTTTCAGAGCATCCGGTTTCACAATTTCAAAGTTAAATTGTAAAATGTTGTTATACAAGTTTGCTTTATCATTTTTTTAAGAAAATAGACCAATTATGGCGTTGAAGTTTTTTTTTATTATTTTTTGTTGTAAAAATCTCAAAGTCAGCGGTTTCTAGATGGATCCGCAGGAATCATGGTCAAAATCTTTAGAAATCCACAACTTTTTAAAAAATAATCTTCAAAATGGGGTGAAATGTTAAAAAAAGCATCAAAAAAACTTTACGATAAAAACTGACTTTGTTGTTTAATAAAAAATCTTCAACGTCAAAATTGATCTGTTTGCTTAAAAAAATGATACAGTACCTTAAAATACATGAAAAAACAGGTAAACAGTAGCTTAAATGGATGAAAAACAAATGTGGAGATATTTTAAAATACAAATTTGGAACAAAATATTTCGAAAATCTTGGTCTGGAACCATAACACATTCGAAAATCATGAAAAGATTCTTCTCCTGATTTTGATTTCAAGAATTTTTTTGGCTTTCATTTCTTCAAAAATTCCATTGCCAAGTTGCCGTTGATTGCAACTTTGATGGTCAACTAATGCCGTATTTAAAGGGGTTGTAGAAAAAAAGTGGAGGAATAAGTTTCTTGTTGTCGAAATAAGTCTACACATATAAAGAAACAAAGGCAAAATGTAGACCCGCCCACCCACCCTGTCTCAATTGTGATGATTTTTTTTATTCGTTGTGAGTCAAGGTGGCGGAGCTTAACTGCAAAATCCTTATTTCTCTACAAGAAATTAAAAGCATGTTTTTGATTATCGTGTTCAATGAATACTATGTGTATTAAGAAAGAAATAAAGCCAAAGATTAGGCTCCACCCATACCCGCCCCGATTTCAATTCTCAATTGTGATGAATTTTTCATTGGTTGTCAGATCGAGGGGCGAGGCTTAATGGCAAGATCCATATGAAGTATTTGTATACAAGAATTTACTATTCTAAACATGTATTAAGTTTCTTGTTCTGAAAAGACGACTACGTATGTTAAGAAAACAAGATAAAATATAAACCCCGCCCACCCACCCTATCGCAAATGTGATGATTTTTTTTTTAATCGTCAAGAGAAAAGGAACGAAATTTAATTGCAAAATTCTTATTATTTCTTTACAAGAAATTACCATGTAAGACATATTTTTGAGTAAAGCGTTATTTAAGAAATACTATGTATATTAAGAAAACATTAAAGCCAAAGATTAAACCCCACCCATACCTGCCCTGATCTAAATAGTAGATAGTAGCAGTAGTGAAGTTTTCATTCGTTGGTAGACCTAGGGGCGGAGCCTAATTGGAAAAAATCCATATTTCCTTACAAAAATATACCATTTTAAATGTGTTTTAAGTGTCTAAGAATAAAAAAAAATCATCACAATCGAGATGGGGTGGGTGGGCGGGGTTTATATTTTGGCTTTTTTCTTAATATACACAGTATTCTTTGCACAATACGATACTCAAAAATATGTTTTTAATTTTTGTAAAGAAATAGGTATTTTGCAGTGAAGCTCCGCCCTCTTGGTTCACGGCGAATAAAAAAAATCATCACAATTGAGATAGGGTGGGTGGGCGGGTTTACATTTTGCCTTTTTGGTTTAATGTGTGTAGACTTCTTTTTACAACATGAAACTTAAAACATATTGAAAATGGAAAATTTGTTTAAGGAAATATACATAATTATATAATTGCAAAATTAATATATTGGGATATTTTAAACATCTGAATTTGAAGCAACGGAATATTTCGAAAATTTTGTCTGGGTTCACAGTATTTTTGAAAGTTTAAGTTTCGAAAATATGCAGACCATTTTTCCAGAATCAGTAAAATGGTCTTAGGCACAATAACGCAAATTTTAGAATATTTTAAAATTTAAATTTCAAGCACAATATTTCGAAAATCTTGGTCTGGAACCATAGCACTTTTGAAAATTAACGAAAGATTTTTTTTTGATTTTGATTTCGAGGTTTTTTTTTGGATTTTATTTCTTCAAAAATTTCTACCATTTTTCCAGACTTTTACACGACTACGTATATTAAGAGAAAAGGTAAAATATAAACCCCGCCCACCCGCCCTACCTCAGTTGTGATGATTTTTTTTTTTTTAATCGTCGAGAGTCCAAGGAGCGAAATTTAATTGCAAAATCCTTATTATTTCTCTACCAGAAATTACCATGTAAGACATGTTTTTGACTATCATGTTATTCAAAGCATATTACGTATATTAAGGAAAAATTAAAGCCAAAGATTAAGCCCCACCCATACCTGCCTTGATCTAAATAGTAATGAAGTTTTCATTGGTTGGCAGACCTGCAAAATCCATTTTTCCTTACAAAAATGTTTTTAATTCTTGTACAGAAATAGGTATTTTGCAGTTAAGCTCCGCCCTCTTGGTTCACGGCGAATAAAAAAAATCATCACAATTGAGACAGGGCGGGTGGGCGGGCTTTCATTTTTTCTTTTTGTTTTAATATCTGTAGACTTCTTTTCACAACGTGACACTTAAAACATGTTTAAAATGGAAAATTTGTTTAAGGAAATATACATAATTATATAATTGCAAAATTGATATATTGGGATATTTTAAACATCTGAATTTGAAGCAACGGAATATTTACAAAATTTTGTACTTTTGAAAGTTTAAGTCCTGTAGTTGAATTTTTTTCGATTTTATTTCTTAAATATACAGACCATTTTTCCAGAATTACTAAAATGCTCTAACCCAATTTTTAGAATATTTTCAAATTTAAATTTCAAACAAAATATTTCGAAAATCTTGGTCTGGAACCATAGCACTTTTGAAACTCAACGAAAGATTCTTTTCTTGAGTTTGATTTCGAGCTTTTTTTTTGGATTTTATTTCTTCAAAAATTTCTACCACTGTTCCAGACTTTTATACGACTAGGTATATTAAGAAAAAAGGTAAAATATATAAAACCCCGCCCACCCCCCCTACCTCAATTGTGATGATTTTTTTAATCGTCGAGAGTCCAAGGAGCGAAATTTAATTGCAAAATCCTTATTATTTCTCTACAAGAAATTACCATGTAAAACATGTTTTTGGGTATCGTGTTATTCAAAGAAT